GCAAGCAAAAAGAATAAGCTTTTATAGTATCAGCGGGTACACCCCAGTTCGGCGCACACAGTTCGGCGCGCACGTTTCAGCGCCAGTTTTTCGGCGCAGCATGTTTTTGGCGTTTAGGGATAAAAATTAAATTATACAAGTGTTAGCTCATTCGAAAGAGCTCCTCGAGCTTAGTCGAATGACAGCAAAATCAACGCGCTTCGACTTCATAGGGCTGAGTTACAGGCTCCGAAAATTGTTAATTTTTGGGTGAAAAATTTGAACATACAAATAATTGCTCATTTGAAAGGGCTCGACGAGCTGTGTGTACTAACAGTGTGTACTTTTTTGGAGGATAAGAAAGGAAAATGGGGGCGGATAAACGCATGGTACCCTTTTCCCTTGTGTCTCAACATAAACTTTGTCTATGAAAATCAAGGATTAGTCCGGGAAGTCTTATACATCCTATCATCTCCTCAAAATAATTTTTTAAAAATTTAGCTTGCCAATCTCCCCTGGAATGAAAAGTCGAATTCGTAAAGGTGAATATAACTTTGCGGGAACAGAATGGACTTTAGTTTCTGAAGCAGGTTTTCTTTCTTTTTAAAGATTCTTCAAAAAATTTTAATTTTTTAAAGCAAAAGATTTAATTCGTCGTTGTTTAATTACCGACCCAGAACAACGAGTAACTATCGAGGAACTTTTAAATCATAAATGGCTATTACATTATACAAAAAGTCCGACAACACCTTTAACTACAACAGAAGTAATGAGTGATCGTGGACAGGCTGTGAATTGGCCTGATTTTTCGGTTTGGAATTTTTTTGAAAATTTTTTTTGATTTTTTGAGGGGGTTTTTAAGAGGGTATAAAATTAAAAAAATTTTCAAAAAAATTTTTTTGTAGGAAGAAATGGAACAAGCATTAGCTTCAATGAGAGTTGATGATGTCCATATAAAACATATTAATGAGGCACAAAATTCTTTATTGGATAAACGCAGAAGAAAAGCAGCTGCTGGGGGAGGTGTTGAACAAATTGCGGAAGCTGATTAATTTTGGAAAGCAATAAAATTTTAAAGAAGTCTTTAGGTTGTGTTTTTGTTTAATTTTTGCCCAATTTTTACATACTTCTTTTGCTGCCATTTTGTGAGTGATTTTTTAAAAATATTTTGTGAAATTTTGTGTTTGTCTATTTTTCGATTATTTTTCTGTTAACTAAAAATTGTTTTTAATATTTGCAAGTAATTTAATTTTTAAGAAATTTTGAAGACATTTTAAATCCACTAACTAACTAGGTAACCATGCGAACTATGACCACGATGGTATAATTTTTGTCTAAAAATTTTTGGTCATAGCTCGGGTGGTTTCCTTGTCCGGGGGGCAAAAAACATTTTTTTAATTGTGGGAGAAACTGTTCTTGATTTAAAAGGATTTAAAAATCAATTACTTGCGCCAAACGTAAAAGCCCTTTTTTCCAAAATTCTAATCTCTTTTAAATTCCAGTATTTTTCTAAAAAAGATTTTCTACGAGTCTTTTAACTCTTCAAAAACATTTTTTTTAATTTTTATTTTTAAAATAAATAAATTTTTATTAAACCAAAACTATTTATTTATCCTTTTCTTCACTTCCTCCAACTTCTTTTTTCTCTTTAATTTGAACTTTTTCTACAACAATAATTCCTGTATGTAAAGCAAATAAAATTGTTGTAGTTAAACAAGCAATTCCAAAAAATAAAGTTCTGTGAAGTGTTGAATCTGGACGTGATTGTTCTTTCTCATTTCTTCTCATCTCTTTTTCAACACGTCCTTCTTCCATTAAACGTCGAGCATTTTCTTTTCGTTTTTGCCAAATTGGTTTAGATATTTTCTGTAAAAACAAAAAAAATTATTTTATTGGATGGGAAAAAGGAAGAAAATTTTTAAAAGGATGAGAGTTTAGGGTTGTTGGCGTCCGGTTATTAACCTGTGCCCCATCGGTTTTCTTTTATGGTCAGTTTTAGGCCCTCGTTTTTGGTTTGGTTATAAAAAATGAATATTTTCCAAAATTCTGTCATAATAATGCTACGTTTACATAAAAATTGTTTGCGTCGTACAACAGTAAAAATAAGGAGAAAGGAAGAGGGAAAAGCTTTTTTTTGCCGCAAAACGCAAAGCGACTTTTATGTAATCATAAAAAAATAAATTAATATTAAAAATTAACCTGTTCTCTCAATATTTTGTCATTTAACGGCATATACTGAAAAAAATTTTAAATTGAAAAAAAAATAAATTCTTTTAAAAAAACTTACAATACTTAAAATTGACTCAACAAATCGAACTAAATTTGGGGTAGCAGATAAATGAAGTTGTAATCTATCATTAGGAAGAGGTGTTTTCAATAAAGGAGCCAAATATCCAAAAATAAGAGCATCTAATGAACAAGGCCTTTAAATTATTTAAAAAATAAAGAATTCAAGAAAATTTATTTACTTGTCTCCACAAAAATATTTGTTATCAGAAAGTTTTGCAGAGAGCATATTAAGGGCCTAAAATGTTTTTTAAATAATAAAGACATTTTTGTTTTACTTTAATCATCTACTCATGTTGGGCCTCTTCCAAGGAAACTTTCTTTTCAAGGAGAGAATCATGTTAAGAATTTAGCCGAAGGAATTTTCTAGATTTTTCAACTACGAGAGAAGTCTTACTGTCTTTTTATTAGGCATTAGAAATTTTCTGATAAAATTTATTGCCTTGAAGAGTGAAGGGAATATTATAATCACTGAATTTTAGCTTTCAAAAAATAATATTTTTAAAGCTAAATTTTTTCGGACCCATGAAATTTTTAAAGGTTCTGACTCAATTTTTAACTAAAAAACAAAAAAAACCTGGACAGCATCCATAGTAATTTGTTGTTGACTTTTTCGTGTACTTTTCACAGCAGCATTTGCTTTCGATCTTTTCTTTTCCATATAATATAAACCATAAGGGAAAATTAAATGTTGAGTATAACAATTGTGAATAATTGAATTATAATTGTATTTGTCTAACCAAAAAGTTTGGAGCTTTAAAAAAATTTTTTCTGATAATTTTTTGAAAAAAACCAAAGCAGGACGAATTTTTTGTTTTAAAAGAGCACTGTAAGCATCAAAATCACAAAGTTGACTAGGAACGAGATCATTATCCAAAACAATGTCCTAAATTTATTTTTGAATAAAAAAGATAGAAAAACGATAACAAAAAATATAGAGAACGAGCGGGTTTGAACTCTGAACTTGGCTTTTGATGACAACTGAATCTTTTCTGAATCAAGAGCCAGATCCAGTCATCTTTTGAACTTATTGAGGGGGTTATCCGGGCATAGTTTTTCTGGATTACAGGTCCCAGGCCAGCCGAGTCAGAAAAATAGTCCTGGCCCAGATTTATTAAAAATTTCAATCTCTATAAAAATAAAACCTGTTTGCTGTTACGTAAAAAGTCAACAAAACGAGAAAAGTCACAAATAGTTTCCTGTTCTTCAGTAATTAAATAAGGCAGATCGCCTAAATTTTGTTAAAATTTGGAATAATAAATTAGAATTTGCCTGTTGGTGACTTCCAAGGCCGAGTTGAATATTCAAACAAAATTGGGGCAGCACAAATTTTGCTGGCTGCCTAAATTAATTTTTAATTTTCAAAATAAAATAAAAAATACCATAAATTGTAAAGATTCTATATCCATTGAAGGCAAGCCAAACTCTGCTGGCCAAATATAAAGAAACATTTTCTTAAAATTAATTTTAAAATTTTAACAATTTTTAATAATAAATATTTGTGGAATTGTACGTTTCGAATTGTTGGTAAAATAAAATTTTACATTTTGACATTCTGAAGAAAATAGAATGCAAAGAAGAGATTGAAAATAAATGAGAGAGAATGATAAAAATTATGCAGAGATAAATACTATTTAGAAAAATCGGTCGATTCAAAGTCGTCGTTTTAGAGAGCAACGTTTCTTTTTATTTCCGACCATTCGATTTATTGTTATATTATTCGAAAGTTTTCGGCATTTTCGACATTTTATTTTTAATCGGACGCATGGTTGATGAACAAAAAGTTATTTTGCCGAAAACTTCTTTTAATCGCCAAACAATGAATCGTCCCATTTCCAAAAAATTTGGCATTTTGTTAATTACCGCTAAATTTTCTGATTAAAAATGGCTTTAAATTTTTTAAATAATTTTATTAAATTTTAATTTTTTTTTAAAGATAAATTTATTTTTCTATTATTATTTCTCTGTTAAAAATTTCCTTTTTTGTTATTAATGCAAACTGCGCGCATTGAATTAGACACAACTTTTGGTTCAGGAAAGTTAAGCATTCCTTCACAGCGTGGTGCTATTCCGAAACATTCAACGCCTAAAAGTTTACCCTTTTTTTGTTCATTGATTTACACTTTTATTTATTTTAAGGACCTGATTGGAACGACGAACGTATTCCTTTAGAACAATCAACTATATGTGACGAATTTGAAAGAATGTCTTCTATTTCAAATAATGAACCGAATGTAAATATTTTTTATAAAAAGGGAGAAGGGGATTTAATTGATTTTCTTTGTCCACACTTTTTTTCTTATTAATTATGGCGGAATTTTTATAGAAAAATTGTCTAAATTTTGTTTTTCGATTTTCTATTCATACTCGATTTTTAATTTTATGACTTTTCCTGGCTCTCAGATTTATTGATCTCTCTTTGCTCAAGGTCAAGAATTTTGCCGGCAATTGAGTTTTCAGTCTTTTCCCACCTTAATCTTTAGCTAGAGATCGATTTTTCCCTCTTAAATTTGGTAACTATTTTTACTTTAAACTAGGGTTGCCGGTCCGGTTCCGAAAAAATGACTCGAACGTCGGCCCGGTTCTAAAACGGCAACCCTATTTACTAAACCCTTTTTGCCCTCTCCTCTTCAATACGGATTTAATAAAGAATTATTTTTTAGAAACCTGACCTGTCCGAAAAGGAATTTCTTTCAAATTATCTTCAAATTGAATTTGACAAAAAACGATGTTCAATGAAGGTTATTTTTTAAAGAAATTTTCTCCCAAAAAAAAATTTTCTTTTTTTAGGAAGGACGGAATGACGTTTTAAACAATGTAAATATTCCAGACCAAATACCCCGTGATTTTTCAAATAATGGATTAAATAGGAAGATACCTAAATTTGACACGCCAACATTTAGACCAATATCTTCTGCTTCTGACACAGATTCTTTGTTTTTTTAATTTTTAAAATTTTTTTAAAATTTATTTTTAAGGTCCTCTTTAACTCGTAAAAGTCTTCTTGGAATTGAACAAGACAAAACAATTTTAAATTTTGGATATGTTTCTATTGGGGAATCGTTGACTTTAAAACAAAAAATTTGGAATTGTGACAATGAACAAATGAAAATAAAATGCAGTATTTTGGTTGATGAAAGTTTGGAAGATGGAATTTTTAAGGTTTTTTGGACTTAGTTTTTTATTGTTTTGTCGGGTTTAAGAGAAGTTTATCTTAAGGTTGTCAAGGCTTGAGTTTTTATTAGACAAATTTTTTTCCTGATTAAGTCCTTGCGTGCTAGGTTTTCTTTCGCCTTCCGCAGAATTTTGCTTTTTTTGACCCTTCCACTTTCAGGTCCTCTTCCGCTTTTTATTTTGTTCTGCTTTCTGCCGTTTTCGGCTTTTTAAAATGTAGCAGAGCCCATCCCTTGCATAGATACGAAAAAATTTTTCACAAAAATTAGTTTGGTGTTTTAGATAGTCGAGTGTCTTTTCCCAGCTTTTTGTCCATTAAGTTTTTAGATTTTCCACTTTTCAGATTCTCATATTTTTTCCGTTTAAAAATACATAAATTTTCTTTCAATTTAAGATAACCAATGTTTCTACCCCAATAATACGACCAGGAGAATGGTGTGAAATTTGTGTTCAATATACACCAACAAAAGTTGAAAGAAATGCAGGAAGGCTTGTTATTGAAAGAGAAAGTGGAATTCGATTTCGTTATTCGGTTTTTACTTTTTTAAAATTTTTTTCAAAAATTTTCTTTCAAGTTTTCACTTTATGGAGTTGGAGGGGGTGCTCTATTAAGTTTAGAAGCAAATTATAAAGCTGGCATTGCTTTTGAATCTACAAGTGGAAGAGTAATTGTAGTTAGGCCAGATGTATTTTCTCGTTTTTGGCTAATTTTTGAAAATAAAGGGCAAAGGTTTTTTTAAATTTTAAGAAATTTTAGAAAAAATTTTTTTTGATTTATAGGTCAGCATTTGTCAATTTAATTGCAATTGACCGTCGGGGCAATATTTTGTCAAAAGAAGTTGGTTTAGATCAACAACAAATTTCAATTAAACCATCACAATTTGTACTTGACTCTTATTCTGAAGATGGAGATAAACATAAAATGGTAAACATTTTAATATTTTCTGACTGTTTTTGGAGGGTTTTTGGAATAATTACACAATTTTCTATAAAAAGGAATTTTTCAAAGACCTGAGTATGGGAAAGAGCTCAAGCTTTTTCGTCTTAAAATGATTAATAGAAAGAGTAAAACCTCTCATAAAAGCAGGATTTCTAGTTTTATACTTACAAGGAGAGGTTACGAGGTGTCCGACCTAAAAACGGCTCAAAATCCTTGCTAGAAAAGGCACTCACATTCTCTATCGAATGAGCCCGGTCTCGACCGTTTTTAGGTCGGACACCTCGCAACCTCTCTTTGTTAATAAGAGTGTAAAGAATTTGAAGCTTATTTAATCCCATAACTTTTCGATTTTAAACAGCTCCCTTCCCTTTTTTAACAATAAATTTTTTAAAATATTTTTGAGAGATAACTTATCAAAAATTTTTTTAACATTTTCTAAGGACTTCCAAAAAAATTTTAACAAAGAAAAAATCTTTTAATTTTTCAGAATGTATTAATTCGAGTAGATGAATCATTTAATTGGATAGCAGATAATAGTGATAATATTGGAATTAAATCAACAAATAATAACAACAACAATAATAAAAATACAAAACAAGAAGGGGAAGGCGATATTTGTGGGGGAAGAGATTCAATGCTTTCTTCTGCTTCAACATCAAGTTTTCAGGAAGATTGTGCTTTTCAATTACTTTCGTATTGGGGAGAAGAAGGACAACGATTACGAATAAAATGGTTTTTTTTGAAGACTTTTTGAATTTTTTTTTATTTTTCTAGTTGGGAAAAAGCATTTAAACCTTTTTATTTAAATGGATTTCGATTTACTGGAAAATTTGTAAACGAAAAAGAATTTACTGCAGAACAAAAAAGAAAAGCACAACAATGTGTAAAGGAAGAAGATGCTAGAGAATTTAAAGATTTATTGAGGATAATTAAATTTAATGTAAGGAGAGGTTATTTAATTAAAATAAATTAAAATTTAATGGATAATAGAAATGTGAAGGTTTGATTCCTTCAGGCCCGTAACTAGGATTTTTTTTCGGGAGGGGGGCCAAGAGTGGAAATTTGCTTTGCTTTCCTTTGTTGAGTGCTTTTTAGTGTTTAATAGAGATAGGAAATAAGCTTTGATTGTCGTTTTTTGTTGAGAAACTTGACTAGATTTGTGATTTTGAGTTGGGTTAAATCAAGGAACATTAAGAAAATGCTTTGATATTGACTCTGGATTCGGGAAAAATTAAGTTGAAAAAAATGTTTAAGGTAAAAATCTTTCTCTGGATAGGAGGCCTTAAATAATAAGCTTTTTCTCCTTAAAATAATTATAATAATTGAATGAAAAAATTCTTTAGAATCGAATTTTCCAATGAATATTTATAAAAATTTTAATTTTTTTCTTTCCTTGAAAAGGTAATAGATGAAAGAGCTCGAATATATTTCCCAACACAACCAGATTCAATTCAACCAGTTTTGGAAATGTTTAGAAATCAGAGTGTTTTATTGAGAGAAGTATGTCAAAATGAAGAAATTAGTTATTGTAGTGCTTCAACTTCACAAATATTTCCTTCTTCAAATGGAGGACGTGGAAGAATTCCTTCAACATCGAGCAGTGGGGGAGGATCACCATCACATGATATACAAAAAATGCGTATATTTAGTGGAAGAGACCAACAAAATAAAAATTTTGATTAAAAAAAGAGGTTTTAAATTCTTGTATTTAAATTTTTGAAAATAAAAATGCGTGCAATGATTCTTACAAAAGTATTCTAAAAGGAAATGTTTAAATTTGAAATTTTGTTACTCTTTCACTCCCTTTAGGAAAAATAAATAATTAGGAAAAAATTAAGGGAAATTCAACTACAAACTTTTTTGAAAAACTCGTAATAAATGGTTAGGTTTAACGATTTCAAGTCTCATATCAGATCAAAAAAATATTTATGGGGAACGTCCGAAAATTCAAAATAAATTTAAAAATTGTAAGTTCGAGTTGATGTCGATCGAACATAGGATTCTGATATAATTAACAATTTTTTACCTGAGAACATGTCTAAAATAATTCGATTTTCACGGTTAAAAAATTTTAAAATTATTTTATGATTCCAAGCACTGGTTTTCAAAAATTGGAATCTTTAAGATTAATTTCAAAAGATGACAGATCCTTGACTTTGAGGCCAGGAAAATCAAGCGCCTTGACTCAGAAAAACCACCGAGTAAATACTCCTAGTATAAGGTAAAAAAGGATTTGTGATATTAGGATCGCTAATTTGAAGCTTTTTAAAGAGATATTTTCAGATGGGTTGGGGTAAGGGGGCGCGCTGTGAATGATGAGAAAACATGCAGCAGTGAGGAAATAAAATTCTTTAGGTCTGAGGTATTGGCTAGAAAATTGCTATACGCCTCCTTTAAGGTTGAATGAATACTCCACCCTCAAAACAGTAATAGACTAACATTAAGCTTAAAATTCTCGTCTACAATGAATCTTCTGTAGAGCAAAAAATATATAAATTGACCCAATGGGTTCTAATCAAAACAATACCCAATAAACTTATTAATTATTAAAAATTAAAAAATACATAAAATTCTCCATTTTGTACATTTAATGCCAAAAAAAATCTCTTCAAAAGATCTACTCCCAATTTTTCTTTTTATTTTGTAGACAATCAGAAATGACAAAATCCTTTAAAAAATAAATTGTTTAAAAATATAAAGTGAGAGTTTCATGTGAAAAATTCAGCTGAAATGTAAAATATTAGCAATTATGGATAAATAACAGAAATGAGGCGATATTCTAGTTAGGAATCCCCCGATCTTGAAACCCTGCAAAGGGATCGACGAGGTTAATTCACCAACTTGCGGTTGAAAGTTGTTGACTAAAAAAGTAGTAGACAAAATGTAACATTTCTCAAAGATGGACGAAATGAAATTTTGGTTAATCGACATAATTAATTCAATTTAGTGAAACGAAATATTAAAAAACACTTTGCCAACAGAAAAATAATACATTTAAAGTTGCTAATTTAAATTTGCATTCAACATTTTCCTTATTTTTGTTTTTTCCCGCCATCATTATTTTTACAATTTCTCTTGTTTCTTCTCTAAATTACCAATTTAGTAGATGTTTGGAAAGGTTTTTAGGCAGAATTACGCTATCTGAATTTCTTATCGAGTTGTTCCGATATTAATTTACATATTTTTTTACTTTTCATTATTATTTTAACATAATCTTAAATTACTTCCTTTTGTTCAATTCCTTTTCTTCTCTATTCATATCCAAATATTATCAAACATTTTTTTTAATTTTTAGAATTTATTTCAAAAAAATTTTGGTATTTTGCTAAGCAATGTCAAACATTACAAAACGCGAAGGCTCGGAGGGTCATGACGATGAGGATCAGCAAGAACGTCAATTTTTGCAGGAAGCTGTGGAGGTTAGTTACTTTCATTATAATGATACGGGTGTTGGTTCATGGTTAACAACTGTTTTTTTCCGCACTGGAAAACTTGCAAAATACGACCACTGCTGACAGTTTATGTTAGTTGAACGAGTTTTCGGTAAGATTATTTGAATGATACCAGAACGGACTTATAGTGGGTACAGATATGAACTAGAACACTGATATAAGATACAAGGGTTATAAATAGTCAAAGTATAGGCAATAAATACTTTAGGACAGTAATGGAAAATTTTTCGATATTTTGTGGCTTAAGGTTTTAAGAAAAAAATTATTCAAATCAGCTAGGATTAAGTTTCTCTATTGTTTTAGAACTAGTTGGGGTTAAAAAGTTTCTTACCGCTTTCGGAGAAAACCGAGGTTATCGAGCGCCGCACTAGGCCCGACCAGTCCACTAAACTTCCCTCAAGCGTGACTTATTTCTCGGAAGTTTTAAAAACCTTCCAACTACCCTAGCTCACCTCTATAAGTTTCTCTCATTCAAATAATCTCATTTATACTAAATATCATTTCACAAATATATTCGAGTGGTCATATTCTGCATTTTTTCCCTCAATTTTTTCCCTGTAATATGTGTATCCACTATTTCAATTGAGTGGACCTTAATCCCGCTTTTTCAATCCCGAGGCCAGGAACCTTAATTAAACAATTGAATAATTTTCGAAAGTTCTGCTCGTGCAGACATTGTTCCCAGCTGTATCGATCTGATCATCATGTCCTGATTTTCTACTTCTATCCGGCTGTAACTTTTTATGTGATGATCAGATCATTCCAGTAAGAAATAATAATCCGCACTTTCAGTGTATTTTGATTAAAGTAAGGATTATTCAAATAAGCTATGAATAAAATGTTCGATAATAGAGTCCCAGGACTGAAAAAGCAAGACTGTGGTGACCTGTTCCGTTTACTACTTTTTATATTTTCCTGATAGCACAAGAGTTGAAAATTAAATTTAAAGCACAATCATCCCCCTAAAAATTTAATAATGCCCCTCCAAAAAATTTAACCATGAAAAATAAAAATTTTAAAATATCTGCTGAATTGATTTCCGAAATTGTCGCCTACATCCATTTTCACCATAAATGGGGAAAGATTCGTGTTTCTAAATTATTCGATCTATTAGTTATTAAATTTCATAAAAAATTTATAACCGAAATGAAAATAGTGGGTTTTAAGAAAAATTTTAAATTTGGTTTTTAGAGTTAATAAACTTGATACTTACTAATTCAATTTTTAGACTAAACAAGCCATTGGCGAGGCACTTTCGAAAATCCTTGGATATTTTGTCTACCTTTCTTCCAATCAGATGAAGAAACTCAAAATGGGAGATGAAGTGCATAATACTGGTCCATTTGATTGTAAGTTTGATTAAATTAAAAATTAACGTCGTTTTGGTAGTACTTTGGAGTCACCCCCTCCCCCTTCCCCCATTTCCCTGACCATTATAAGCTCTTTTACTTGATATATAATTTATTATATATCACTCGAAAGAGCTCTTAAAACTGCCGTGATCGGTTAATTTGTTCATTTTAAACAAAATTATGAAGTTAACTTGTCGCTGGAAAAACTTCTTGTCTCGGTTCAAGTGATTAAATGTTGATTTAGGTCGGATTTCATTGATTTTAGTGTCATTCGTCTTACTCGAAGTGCTCTTTAAAATGGTATATAATGTATTAAAATGTAAAAAATAGAAAGGAAAAGGGGGCGATTTCCAAAGCATTACCGACGTTTTTTAAAAAATTTTCCCTTTTTATAATCATTTTTAAGCCATTTTTGTTGTGCTTCGTGATTTTGCTGGAGAGGCGCCTTTTTTGGGAGAACTTTTAAATGTAATTTAAAATTAATTTTTTTATGAATTTTAATTTTTAGACAATCTTACAACTTCCACAAAGTCCTCAAGGAGCTTGGCCTGAATGGCCGACAAAATATTTTACTGACCCGAAGGGGGGTGTAAGTTTCTATTTAATTTTTCTTAAAAGTAGATTCCGTATTTCTTAAGATAGAACTAAGCTGAAATAAAAATTTTTTTTAAATAAAATCTAAATTTAGTGGGACGGTATCAACAAGGCAAAAATCAGCATTCTCAAACTTCTATTTGGCCAATTTGTCGAATTTTACAAACTTTCTAATGACAATTTCACTCTTCCTTTTTTGAAGGAAATTCTTCGACTTCTTAAAGGTTTACTTTTTTAAAATTGTTATTTAAATTTTTCTAAATTCCAATTTCAGGAATCCTTTCGAATTTGAGCGAACTTTTTGGGGTGAAAAAGGAAAACGTGAAGAGTGTGAACTGGGATGACTACAATGATGGAGACGACGGGGCTGGTCCCAGTACCTCTGGGACTGGTCCAGGCACCTCTGGAGATGGGGCCAAACCGCCCAAGATGCGAAGAATTATGTAAAGGAATTTAAAAATTATTTTAAATAAATGTTTAATTTTAAATTGTTGGATTTTGTTTGATCAATATAAATTGTTTGTTTGGGGATTGTAAGCATGTTTTTAATTGATCTGGGGGGGGGGGGGGTCAAAGGCAAGCATAGTCGGAGAATAAATCAATTTCTTGTCGAGTTATAACGGTTAGGGACGATTCCGCGCCGACGTTTCCGCGCCAGGTCAGTTCCGCGCCTGGTCAGTTCCGCGCCAGGTCAGTTTCCGCGCCAGCTATAGAGGTTCCGCGACAGTTATAAAATAAGTAAATAATAACCTGAACACGAGCCGGTCCACTTTCTATACATGTATGATTACCTACTTAAAAAGATAATGGCTTTTTAGAATCAAAAAAATTTAAAAATCAAAGTATCACATATTTTGTATAGCTGGCGCGGAAACGTGCTGGCGCGGAACTGACCTGGCGCGGAACTGACCTGGCGCGGAAACGTCCGCGCGGAAACGTCGGCGCGGAATCGTCGGCGCGGAAAGATACCCCACCGGAGTTATAATGATGAAGATAGTGGAAAAATAGTTGAGTGTATTTTGATTAAAGTAAGGATTATTCAAATAAGCTATGAATAAATTGTTCGATAATAGAGTCCCAGGACTGAAAAAGCAAGACTGTGGTGACCTGTTCCATTTACTACTTTTTATATTTTGCCTGATAGCACAAGAGTTGAAAATTAAATTTAAAGTGCAAACATCCCCCAAAAAATTTAACCATGAAAAATAAAAATTTTAAAATATCTGCTGAATTGATTTCTGAAATCGTCGCCTACATCCATTTTCACCATAAATGGGGAAAGATTCGTGTTTCTAAATTATTCGATCTATTAGTTATTAAATTTCATAAAAAATTTATAACCGAAATGAAAATAGTGGGTTTTAAGAAAAATTTTAAATTTGGTTTTTAGAGTTAATAAACTTGATACTTACTAATTCAATTTTTAGACTAAACAAGCCATTGGCGAGGCACTTTCGAAAATCCTTGGATATTTTGTCTACCTTTCTTCCAATCAGATGAAGAAACTCAAAATGGGAGATGAAGTGCATAATACTGGTCCATTTGATTGTAAGTTTGATTAAATTAAAAATTAACGTCGTTTTGGTAGTACTTTGGAGTCACCCCCTCCCCCTTCCCCCATTTCCCTGACCATTATAAGCTCTTTTACTTGATATATAATTTATTATATATCACTCGAAAGAGCTCTTAAAACTGCCGTGATCGGTTAATTTGTTCATTTTAAACAAAATTATGAAGTTAACTTGTCGCTGGAAAAACTTCTTGTCTCGGTTCAAGTGATTAAATGTTGATTTAGGTCGGATTTCATTGATTTTAGTGTCATTCGTCTTACTCGAAGTGCTCTTTAAAATGGTATATAATGTATTAAAATGTAAAAAATAGAAAGGAAAAGGGGGCGATTTCCAAAGCATTACCGACGTTTTTTAAAAAATTTTCCCTTTTTATAATCATTTTTAAGCCATTTTTGTTGTGCTTCGTGATTTTGCTGGAGAGGCGCCTTTTTTGGGAGAACTTTTAAATGTAATTTAAAATTAATTTTTTTTATGAATTTTAATTTTTAGACAATCTTACAACTTCCACAAAGTCCTCAAGGAGCTTGGCCTGAATGGCCGACAAAATATTTTACTGACCCGAAGGGGGGTGTAAGTTTCTATTTAATTTTTCTTAAAAGTAGATTCCGTATTTCTTAAGATAGAATCTAAGCTGAAATAAAAATTTTTTTTAAAATAAAATCTAAATTTAGTGGGACGGTATCAACAAGGCAAAAATCAGCATTCTCAAACTTCTATTTGGCCAATTTGTCGAATTTTACAAACTTTCTAATGACAATTTCACTCTCACTTTTTTGCCGAGAATTCTTCAACTTCTTAAAGGTTTAATTTTTTAAAATATTTAAATTTTTCTAAATTTCAATTTCAGGTATCCTGTCAAATTTGCGCCGACTTTTTGGGGTGAAAGAGGAAGACGTGAAGAGTGTGAACTGGGATGACTACAATGATGGAGACGACGGGACTGGTCCCAGTACCTCTGGGACTGGTCCAGGCACCTCGGGAGATGGGGCCAAACCGCCCAAGATTCGAAGAATTAAGTAAAGGAATTTAAAAATTATTTTAAATAAATGTTGAATTTTAAATTGTTGGATTTTGTTGGATTAATATAAATTGTTTGTTTGGGGATTGTAAGCATGTTTTTAATTGATCTGGGGGGGGGAGGGTCAAAAATGTAAGCATGGTTGGAGAATCAAACATTTTTTGTAAGTCCTAATAATGAAGATTTCTAAATTTTAGGGTGGCTTTCTAAGTTCTCCAGTCAGTCGGCCTTTAAATTCCTAATTAACAGTTTAATAATTTTTGAAAATTGGAAAATAGTAATTTAAAAACAATTCTTTTTCCTAATAAGTTCCTTCTTCTTCCAAAGCATTTCCACCTTCATCTCCATAATCTTCACCTCCATCAAAATATGTTTCTATATAATCATTTGCATCTTCTGCTAAATAATCCTCATCAGAATATTCAACTTCTTCGTCATCTTCATTTGTTGGTTTTAATGTTTGTGTTTCTATTTCGTCTTCATCCACTTCTTTTTCTTTTATTTCTTCATTTTCTGTTTCCTTTAAAAATATTTTTTTAGAAATTAAAAAAATCAAAAAATAAACCTTTTCTCCAGGATGACCTTCACGTTGTCCCAGCCTTTCCAGAAGCGCGTTTTCGTCAATTCTGGCCCTTTTGGCGGCGCGAATATTTGCTTTACTTCTAGTTTTCCAATTAAGTTCTGATGGAAGTCTACTCCAATCTTAACAAAAAAAATTTTTGGAAATAAGGACGAAAGGTTATTTAGTGCCGAAAACGAATTCTCCTTAAAAAGGGGGACTAAAAATATTAAAAAAATATTTCATTAATAAATTTAAAATCAAAAAACTAACGTGGCTCAAAAGTTTCCTTATCCATCAATCTGTATTTGTCCGTGTACTAAAAATAAAAAACAAATTTAAATAAAATTTAAATCAAAATTCTTTTACCCTTCTCACATCCCTCTTCCCAGTTTTTTTCGAATAAAAAGGAGATTCTCGAAAACGATTTAAAAATTCTTGTTTTGTATCAACCATAAAAGCGAGTTCTTTTGTTTCTTCTAGAGGTAAAGGGGTTTTATCTAATGGCTGAAAAAAGAGAAATTTTAAAAATGAAAAAAATTACAAACTGGATATAAAGGCAAAGGCTCATTTCGAACTTGTTGAGCATTATATTGACTAACATCTTGTCTGCTTATTCCGAGAACCTAAAAGTTTTTTTTTAATTTAAGAAAAAATTTAAAATAAAAAACAAACGTTTGCAATTGCACGAACACCACTTGTGGAAGCCCCTCTACCTCCTCTACTCATTTTTGAAACAAATTTTAAATAGAAACAAGCAAAAATAAATATAAAAAATAATTAAAATTAAGTAAAAAACAAGAAATAACCGGTCAATCTAAGAATTAGTGGAAGGTGACCGTTTTTCTATCTGATATTTTGTCAATTCGACATTTTGAAATTGTAACAGAATTTTACAATTTAATCGTCTTCGTTCAAAAGGATTTCAAAAAACCAAACTTTTATAAACTAAATCATTTGCCAAATTTAAAATTAAGCGTTACTTCCAATCTTTTCGATTCGTTTATTCGGCATTAATTTAATCTCTAAAATTATTTTTAGATTTTTAATTTTATTTATTTATTGTCTTCAATGATTGAAACAGAAAATCACAAAGTTGTGATTGTTCTTGATAGAAGTCCAAAGTTTGCTGCATTGGCTCCAACAACAGTAAGAAATTAATTTTTTGTATAAACAATTAGAGGGTTACTTAGTTAATTTTTTAGTTTCCGGTTTGTTTTTAGAATGATTTTTCGAGCACTTATAAGCCAAATCGAAAAAAATGACGTTATTGACATTAACTTTAGGTCTGCAAATGCTGTCCGCAAGAAAGTGCGGACATATCTTTACAACCCGATTATTTTAGGGTTTCTTGTAAAAAATTTCCCTATTTCAAAATTAAGAATAAGCTTACTGACTAAAAAATAATTTATCAAAAACTTTCAAATCCTTCACCAAATTTATTTTATTGTGGAAAAATGATCAATTTATGAATATATCATATAGGCAGGAATATTTTCAACATTTTTAAATTACTTCCCCAAAACTATCATTTTTCTTCCCTTTCTTTTTTATTTTCTTTCAAACTTCAAGCATTATATTTCCCCATCCATTCATCCCACAAGGCCAAAGCATTTTCAACACCTTTTTCCTAAATTTTTCCTTAAATTTATTTTTAAATTATTTTTTACTTGAACTTCTGTACGAGCATCTTCAATCACAACAGTTCCATCCGGCTTAATAATACGGAAAGTTGGAATTGTTTTAACTTCGTATTTGGACAAAAACTCGCTTAAATAGAGCAAACATTATTTTTTAATTGAAACGAAAATTATTTTGGGTAAAATCGTTTTTAGGGAAGCCTCGGAAAATACTTCTTCCACCACTAACTTAAGAAGCTAAGTCGAGAAAAATGGCATGTTATTGACATTAACTTTAGGTGTTTGCAAATGTTGTCCGCAAGAAAGTGCGGACATACTCTTTAAAACCTCTGGAGTCTCCCCACAAGTCTTTTCAAGTTTTCCCAACAAAAAACTACCCAAAACCCATCTAGTTTAAAAATTTACTCAATCTTCGGATCGCCAAACTCCAAATAAGTCCACTCTCCGTGATGGTCATTATAATATTCCTTCAAGTCATTGGCTGTGCGATCTCTAGAAACAAAAATAACTTCAAAATTCTTCCCTGCAGCCTTCAAGTCCTCGTAGAATTTCTTTAAAAAATTTGAAAATATTTTCAAAAATAAACAAAAAACCTTCAATTTTGGAGTAAAAGCCCGGCACGGTGGGCACCACATTGCAGAAAAATAGAGACCAACAACTTTGTCATTTAAATATTCTTCAGCATTCGCTTTGCTTTCGTCTTTCAAAATAATTTTTTGGCCGGCTAAAACTTGTGACATTTTATTTTTTGAACTGAAAATTGAATTAGATTTGTATTTAATTTTTGTTAAATATCGAACTAGAAAAGCGAAATTGTTGGTGAAAATGAAACTTTTTGAACAGCGTTAAAGAGGCGAAATAATTTAGATTGCATATAATTTTTTACCTAAATTTTGAGTTTTTAAAGGAAAAATGAATTGAAGGAGGCCTTAAAAAGTAATCATTTTTTTGTGCGTTTTGTGATAATAAAGTATGACGAATTTCGTTTTTAACTTGTGAGTATGACGTAATATTTAATTAGAATTTCATAAATTATGTGGGGATGTGGTTAAAATAGAAATATTAAAATGGGGGAAAATAACATTGATTTACGCTGGGAAATTGCCCCGATATGTAGAAAAACTCAACTGCTTGGAAAGCAGCCTAGCGTCGCTTTGCTTTGGTTTTTTAAGTAATTTTTGTTCATTTTATGATTGAAAAACTTTCTTTGGGGAGAACTCTTTCTATTCTGCTTCTCTAATTCTCTTGTTGTCTGTGTTCTCTAACTTTTTACATTTCGCCAAATTTATTTTTTGTTGAACTTATTTAAATAAATAACCAATATCCCTTTTATTTTTCTATTTTTTTACTTTAACGAGCGTTTGTTCGCCGCTTCGCGGCGAACAAACGCTCGTTTAATTCCTTTTTTTGGAAAAATTACGTTATTGCGTTCTTTTGAAATTTTTTTAAATTTTCACAAAACTTTTTATGTTTAATTTTGGTATTTTTTTTGCAAAAATTAGATGGTCTTTTTTTGGAATTATTTAGGTTCATATTGTTAATTTAATGAAAGTTTTCTGGTGTTTCGATAAAAGCGTATTTTTCAAACGATACTTCGTGGTTTTGTTTTGCTGTTATTTTCCGCCTTCTGACGTTTTTCGAATCGTTTTTAATACTTTTCTTCTTTTATTAGAAATTTTAAATAATTATTTGCTTTTTTTAAAATTTAAAAAATTTGTTCGAAAAGTTGTATTTAAAATTTTATACCTTTTTTTTAAAAAATTAAATAAAAATATTTTAAACTTTTTAATGTTTTTAAAAGTTAGTTTAAAAAAGTTTTTGGTTTTAAAAAGTTTTTGTTTAAAAAAGTTTTTGGCATTTTGTTTTTTATTATTCAATACTTCTTTTCAACATGGTATATAAGCAAAACTAATTTGCATAAATTCATTTTACTTGTCATTTCTTCTTTTTTGAGCGTTCCTTTTCCTCGTTCTTTTTTTTTTATCTTTGTATTCAAATTGTTTCTATGTATATGTTTATTTCCCACATTTTAAAAAATTTTTAACATTGATTTTTTATTTTTATGTTTTGTTTAGTTTTTTTATTTTATGTTTTTTATTCTTTTTCCTCTTTTTTTTGACTTAACATATTTTAAAATATTGAATTATTTTATTTTAATTAGTTTTTTTGGCCTTTTTTTCAGTAAAACATTTTTGTTTACCCAAAAATTTGGAGGTTTTTTTAATTTTACGGTTTTAATTTTTAATAAATAAAGTTTAAGAATTCCGTTTTTTAAAATGTGCTTTTAGGCTAAAGATTTTTTTTTGGCATTGGATTTTCATCTTTTGGTATTTTAATTTAACCTGTCCAAAATAGAATATGCTTAAATTTATTTTCCCTTTTGGATTCCTTTTTTAATTTGCTTTCTTTTTTCTTGATTTGGGTAATTATTTTCTTTTTCATTTCTTTTTTTTTTGTGTTTCTTTTTCCGCGCTAATTTGAACAATTCTTTAAGGTATCACGTCTTTTGCGCCGTGAACGTTTACGCCGCGACTTATGCGTCATGCGACTTTTGCGACGCCGTTTTCATTAAAAATATATGAATAACTACAGCCAGACCTCACTAAAGTAGGGTTGTTGGAAAATTAGAAAACTTCGCATATCCGGATTCGTCAACCCTGATTTTTATTGCAACCTACTTTTATGTCGAACCCATTTTACCAGCTACTGGACCCCTATTGCAGTTCCCGGATACTATTTTTTAATTCAAGGGGTAAGGTCCGATTGTAGTTATTATTTTTTAGAAATATTGGCGGCGCTTTCATTTATTCAATAAAATTACGTTTTTTTAAAAAATTTGTTTTTTGGCGTTTTGTTTGCACTTTTTATTTAAGATTACTTTTTTCAGTATAAAAACAAAAAAAATTTGCATAATTTTATTTTCCCTTTTTTCTCCTTTTTCTTTTAATTTTCCTTTTTCTTACCTTTTATTGATTTTTAACATTTTATTTGTTTAAATTGATACTTGCTCCTTTCCTGCATCATATTTTTTTGATATTTTTTGCAAATACTTTTCACACTATTCTTTTTTTATTTTTTATGATTTTTTTAATTTTCTGGTTTTTATTTTGGATTCTCATTCTTTCTGTTCTTTTGTTTTTTTTCCTTTTCCTATAGTTGACCCTTTTTTTTGAGGGACAAATTTTAAATACAAAAAGTTTTAGGGCTCCATTTATATTTTATTTAAGAGCAAATGCTTGTTTTTGGTTTTTGGTTTTATGTTTTTTTTTGTATTTTTGATTTTTTACATTGAGATTTTTAATTTTAAATAGATCTTTGCAGACATGTAGGGAGTCAGCTGGACATTTACCATTAATTGGCTTATTTAATTTTTGAAAAGTATTTTATTTTTTTGAAAATCTGCATATCATTTTATTTTTTTTTTTAATCTGTTGATTTTTTGGCATTCTCTAAAAAATAGAGAATAGTTTTAATAAATTTTGTATAAAAACAAAATTCTTTTTCAAAAATTTATTTTTCCCTTTCTCCCTTTTTCATTTCTTTTTTTTTAAATTAATTTTTGTTACCCTGTTTTTTTGTTGGTTTTGTTTTAATGGATTTTATTAAATGTTTAGGATTTTTTAGTAAAAAAAAACCTTTTAAAAAAGCTTTTAAATTGAGGTGTATTTAATATTGGGCCGTTTTTTGGGGAAAAATTTAATTTTTGTTATTCTAAATATTGTTCTGAAAATTTTTCGCATGTTTGCTGTTTTTTGAATATTTTTGTTTATATCTTTTACTATTTGTTTTTTTGAAAAGATTTTTTAAGTTAATTACTATTGATTGCCACTATCTAATCGCATATTTTTTTTTAGTTTAGTTTTTTATTATTTGAAATGTAGATTTTAATTTAAAAATATGTTTTAACTATTTTTTCGTTATTTTTTTTTTTAAAAAATACTTTTTACTGTTTTCATAACTATTTTTTAAATTTTTGTGCGAAATATCTTCAAAAAATTTTCATCAATTTTTAATTTTATTTTTCGATTAAAATACTTTTTAGTATTAATTTTTTGAATAATTAGTTTTTAAAATTTTTAAGTAAACTTGTAAGTAAGATATTTTTAATGAATGCTTTTTTAATTTAAAAAAGCTTGTTTTCATTGAAAAAATGTATTTTTTTTATTTTGTCTCGGGATAATCGAGTTCATCTAAGTCAATTTTTTTAATTTCTGTTTCTTCGTGTTTTATAAGAGCTGCTTCATCATAAATTGTAACCGTCAGGACCCCAACTAAATTTATTGTGATAGGTTAGGATTTTATTAATGTTAACCCTTATTTGTCTCAACATTAGCCACGTGGATGGTTATTTCGTCATTAATCTGAAGATTTAATTTGTTCGGATAAATTAATTGTGTTTTGTGCACTCCATCAGTACATATTGTACCATTCTGTTTTTTAATTGAACTAATAATTGTAGGTTTTCTAACAACTTTTAATCGGACATTGCCTTAAATTTCCATTTTTTTTTCAAATTTTTGAATTTTTTGATTTTAGTTTTCGTGATTAACTTTCGAACAAAAAATATTTACATTTGATTTGCCCAAATTTTTTCCCCATCTCATTCAAAGATTCAATTAGTTCTTCTTCAATCATTTCTTCATCAAATTCTTCTACTTTCACTTTGCTTGTATTTAAAAAATTTATTACTTTTTCATCTTTCCCGAGCCCTTCCTTTAACTGAATGCTTTGCAGCTTTAACATTTTTCCCTTTAAATTTTTTTGTATAAAATTTGGGTCTTGCGGGAGTTTACCTCCTTTCCATTAAGCAAAAAAAATAAAAATTCAGCAAGGATATTCCAGGCTGTCAATCTAATTTTTGTTTTGTTTGCCATAGCTGTAACATCCAACACTTTAGCTTCAGAACGTCCTTTAACAGATACAGTTCTAACTTCTTTTATGCTATATAATTTAAGTTCAACATCTCTTAATATTTTTTTAAAACTATTTAAATATTTTTTAAAATTTAATTACTCAAAAAGTTCTCCTACACGCATTTTTTCATAAGAAATTGGCTGAAAGGTATCGTCAATTGTTAACTTTTGTTTTAAAAAATTAAAATAAGTATTTTCGGTTATTCCATAAAATTCAATATCCAGTTCTGTAATTAATGTGATTGTTGAGCTTTCTTGTGCTCTTAACTCATAATTGACACTGCCATAATTGTAAGGTGCCAAAACATGTTTTGAAACAAATGTTTTAAACAAAAAATTTTTCCCCTATATTTTTTTCCGAACTTAATATCAAAAAAATATTTTACCTTAAAATTATTGTTTAGTTCAGTAACTAAACGATTAAAGTGTTTATCCCATAATGTTATATTAACATAATCATATCTTAAGTTTTTTAGAATTTAATTTTAAATTTTTATTTTTAAATTGTTTTAATTCATGTTTTTTTATTTAATTAAAAATTTCAAAATAATTTTTGATAACCCATCTGTTCCAACCAAAGTCCATACTAATGTATTTTCATGAACTGTTCGTACTGCATCAGCAGTAATCAAAAATAATTTTATATCTCTAAAAATTTTTTAATTAAAAAAATTTTTTTAAATTTTTAATAAAAAATTTTTTTTTAATTTTTTTTAAAAATTTTTTCTTTAAAATTTTTTTAATTTTTAATAAAATTTTTTTTCTTTCTTGTGCCTTTAACTCAAAAATTTTTTATTTTTTTTAAACTCGAACTTTTTAATTAAAAAATTTTTTTTAACTTTTAACTTACATCATATTTTCTCCTTCTTTTATTGTTTGTAATGGAGAACGTTTAGTTTTTTTTATCGGAGTTTGAGACGAAATTTCAGATTCCATTTTATTTTTTGAAAAATATTTTTTAAATTTTTTATTAAAAATATTAATGTTGAGTATGAACAAATTTCTTTATTTTTTTAAAAATGAAAACAATTTTTGTTAAGAACAGTTATCTTAGCTCATATATAAATGTTTATCCGTGTTAGTTTCTTTTGTAATGGAAATTAAGATTTACAGTTCAAATTAGCTCGTGTTTTTTTATTTTGCTTTTAATAATTTAGTAAACAACCTTTTTGGCTCTAATGTGTAAATAATAATTTTGTCGAAAATTTTTTGAAGAAAAATTTATTTTTCAATTTAAATTTTATTTTTACAAATGTTTTGGTTTTGGTTTCGGGTTTTATCCCTACTAACGGTATCCGCGACGTGAACGCACCAAAACTCGGATACCAAATAGAGGAGTCCTATGATAGTTAGAGGGTTTATTTTTATCCCGCCCTATCACACGCTACACCCTCCTCTTTAATGTAGCGATTAACTTACCTTGTTTTTAATTTTTTAAATTATTAAATTTGTTTTTTTTATTTTTACAAATTATTTAATTTGTTTTTTTTATTTTTAAAATCATTAAATTTGATTTTTTTATTTTTTTAATTTTAACATTTTTTGCATACTTTGAATCAATTTTTTATGGCTTAAAAATCTTTGTTGGTTTTTCCAGCTTTTCATTGAAAAGTTTTTATCTTTAATTTTAGTGATCTTGAAAAATTTGTTTTTCATAGAAAATATTTTTTAAAAAACCATTTTTTTTTGTGAATTAAAATTTTTCCAGAATGGCTGTAATTTTTTTATAACTTGTAGAAATTATTTTTAAAAAAATTTTTGCCCTAATTTTGCCCTTTGTGTCGTCTCGCCAATTTTGTTTACAAATATTTTTAATTAAAATGTTTTACAAATATTTTTCCCAACTATGTTTTCGAAATATTTTTCCAAAATTATCCAAATCTTTACCAATTTTCCAACATATTTTTTCCCATTTTTTAAAAATGTTTAAATTTTTAAATTTGCTAAAATATTTTGACTTTTTTAAAAGAATAAAACAATTTTCGATAATTTGCAAACAAATTCATATTTTTTTAATCAGGGTTTTTAACATTTGGAAAAATTTTTAAATTAATTGAGCAAAGCTTCCCTCCACACTATATTTTTTATTCTTCTCTCTTTATTTTTCTCGGATAATTTTATCTTGATTTTCTCCCACGATTTGGCCCTACTTAACGAAACATATGTTTGACCATGACTAAAAGGATCTTCTGTATAATCTATTCCAATTTTCTCAAATGTTTGAGACTGGCTTTTATTTATAGTAAAGGCAAAGGCCAACCTAATGGGGAATTGATGTCTTTTTAGTACAAAAGGGAACTTTTTGTCCTCAATTAATGTAATTCTTGGAATGAGTGTCGTCTCGCCAATTTTATCCCCACTTTTTATTATACAATTTAAAACATATTTGCCTATATTGGCTACTTGTAGTCTGGTTCCGTTACACAAACCTTCTTTTACATTTAAATTTCTCACTAACATAATCATTGACTTTTCTTTTAAAAAAATGCTGTGATTTGGAAAATTTGGGCATTTTAGGGAATTTAAAATTTCTGGGGTAATCTGCAAATTCCTATTTTCTTCTGTTTCGTCAATGCTTAATAGCGTTTTGGTTTCGCCTGGGAACTTCTTCATTATTTCCTCATTGTAATTATCAACGATTGAATTGAACGGAGACAAAATTGCGTAATTATAAAGTTCGCTATAATTTCCATTTCTAATAACCGTTTCAAAAATCTCGTCAGATAAATTACTTTTACAAAAACATGAATCTGGAACAGAAATCAAACCTTCATTTTCTGATATACCATTACCAATCTCAATCAATTGTTCAGCAAATTTTCTTTCATTTGGATCGGCTCTCATATTTTTCTTTAGTTCCATTATAAAGAATGTATTCCAAAGAGGAGAATTTTTTATTAATAAATCAATTATTTCCGATCGAGTTCCAAACTCTTTTATGGGTAAACATTGTCTAAAATCTCCACTTAATACAAAAATTTTCCCGCCAAAGGGCATATCATTATTCATAATTTCTTTTAATTTTCTATCAATTATATCTAATGTAAATCGTGAAGCCATAGGTGCTTCATCCCAAACAAAAATATCTGTATTTTTTATTTCTTCAGCTTCTTTGCTTTTTATCTCAACACCTGAAGTTGAAGTTTTTTTAATATTCAAAGGCAACTTAAATCGGTTATGTAATGTTCGGCCTTTTTGTAATTGTGTTGCAGCTATACCAGAATAAGCCATATTGCATATATTTTTTTTAAAAGATCTAGCTAAGTGATATACTGTTTTTAAAACATAGGATTTTCCAGTACCACCCGGGCCGTCAATGTAAATACATTTTTGGTTGTCATTTTCTTTCAATATATTATCTATTTTTTCAATAATTTGTTTCTGTTCTTCATTCATTTTTAAAATTAAATTCTGTGCTAAATTGAACTCTTCTTTCGGATCATAAAATTCGCTTTCATCTATATTTATACAATCTATATTTTGCGGCATATCGCTATAATCGATAAGTGATCTGTCATGATCTTTTAAGCCTTGATCAATTAAATAAAGACCTATCTTATAAAGTTCATTTTTTGGAAAAGTTGGGAATTTTCTTATTAAATCATTTATTAAATATTCTTTAAAGGATTCCCATAATTTTCCTGGATATTTTGGTTCGCAATGAATTAAAATATTTACAAATAATGTTCTCAATCCTTGAGGGTGTTTTCTTGAAAAAAGACTTGCTTCTTCTAAACATTTAAACCATTCATCGTCATCTCTTGCTAGTCCTCTTGCTAAACATGCTTTAGCAAAAGTATCATAAACAACGTTATTTACTGTTCTTAAATCTTCAAAACTTTTTCCAGATACATTGAGCAATAAATATCGCAAAAAATATTTTTCAGTTTCTACAGGATTAACTGGTATAATTCTCCCTATTTTTTTAAAATTTACTTTTCTTGGATATTTCCATTCACGCGTATTTTTTAACCATGTGCAATATTTAGGCATATCAATATATTTTATATGTAAATTCTGGTTTGCTTGGCAAAATTTAAAATAGGCTGTTAGTGTAGAATTCTTTTCAGAAGCATCTTTTATTTCATTTTTTGTAGCGTTTTTTTCATAAATAATTTTTTGCATATTTTCTAAATGTATATCTAATTTATCAACCGAATGAGATTTGCCTTGTAAAGGAAATTTAAATAAACGCCAACTTGCTTCGCATGGGCTTAGATATCGGGCTTCTAAATATTTACTAACTTCGTCATAATTTAAGACTTTCTTAGTTCCATCTTCACCGATTTGTACACATTCAATTGTTGCTGCATCATAACCTTTATAAATATAGTCGTATAAATACTTTACTACTAAAATATCGCTCACTCTTTCAACATTAATGTGTGATTCAAAAGTTTTTAATAAATAAGGATTATAAGGCACTACATATTGATTTGTTAATTTTATCCCTTTTTTTAAAATATATCGATTGTTATTAGGTCTTTTATACATTGGATAACCATCTTCGTTTATTTCCGTTAACTCCCGAAAAGCTTTCGGAAATTTTTTCCCGCACTTTTTCCTTGATTTGTCCCAACAAAGTGAATTTTCCGAACAGGGTCCATGAATCATAAATTTCTTCACAATCTCAAAAAGCTTTTTATCAATTTCTTCATCTGGTATTTCGGCCCAAATATACTTGTCAATTTCTTCAGAATTGTGCCATTTATCTTTCGCGCTTAAAGTTATTAATAAATGGAGATGAGGCAGACCTCTCTTTTGATATTCAATAACCCAACAAAAGCCTATAACTTCGCCAAATATTTGTTTATTCAATATTAAATTTAATAGATAATTCTTTTTTAAATTAAAAACTCTTGTTACAATATCAGGTCTATCTGATGCAGTTTGTCCTGGAAATAAACATTTTAAAATATCAGGGTCGTTTGGATTGCAAGTAAAAGTTATAAATAAGTCAGGTTTTCCTGTTTCATTTACAATAGTCATCGCATCCATAAAGTGTTCATGCATACTTCGTGGGCCTCCAGTAAATGTTGAGGGAAGGATTATCTTTTTTTGGATCTCAGCACCACTTTTATTTGCTTTGGATTTCAAAAAATCTTCCACATTTACATAGGAACTGCTACACAATTCATTTTGATGGTTTCTAATATATTCTAATCGATACCACTCTAGTTTTGCTGCCTGATCAACAACCCATTGTTGAAATAATTTTTGCGCATAAAAATGAGGCATAAATTTTTCATCATCTTTCACATACATAAAAAATTTAACAAAATCACAAAAAGAGATATTTTTTCCATTGGAATCTTTTAAATTAAATGTAAAGCCATAGGGCGATTTTGGATACAATAGTGGGTAGCACATTGGTTCAATACATTTATCCAATGGATAAATGTTTTTTAATTTTTTTTCACCTTTTGGATAAACTACAATATTCGCGGGGGGTATTTCATCGTTTGCATCACATACCACAATGGCACATACTTCATTACTTTGAGGAATATTGTATCTTCTCTTGTCAAAATTTTCTTTTAGACTAAAAAGCAATCTTACTTCTGGTATGCTTATTCCCTGCTCTTTACAAACCATTTCTTGCTTTTCATATACATCCTTCATTAACTGATATGACTTAACGAACTTATTATTTTCCCTAATATATTTTTCAATGTAATTTATTATTTTTGGTTCGAACTCTTTATTAATTTCTCTAATATCCAAAGCCTCCTCAGAATCTAAAAAGTATAATTGACCATTTGTTGGCATTTCCTTTTCATTAGCTGGCATTGCAAACGGATTAAATTTATGATAAATTTGCCCTTGAATTTTGTAGCAAGGCGGACCAGGAGTTGGAAATTTAAATCTAAAAGAACTTAACGAAGCAAAAGCAAAATTATTATTGTATCTGCGAATATTTGAAATAAAATTTTTGTAAAAAGGATGATCACAGCTATAAAGAACTTTAAGTTCTTCAGGATAGTCTTCATAGAAATCAGTCAGTTTTATAAGTTTCCCTCTTTTACAACAACTCTCAAAACAAAATTTATCAACATTTGATTCCTCTTTTGTTTCTTCCGGAAAATGCAAAGATTTACATTTTGAACATTTTAGGACAAATTGGCCAAGTTCATAAAATTTTCCAAGAAAAGGATTTGAAGCATCAAAATGTTTCAATCCTTCATTTTGTAAAAAAATTTTCTTAAGGTTATGACCTACACGATCTTTACTTCGTTCAATCTCATATGCTTCTTCTGGCATATTAACTCTCTGTTTTATTTTTCTATTTAGTGTTTTTTCTTTTTTATAATCAGTAACAAAAAATTCATCATTAACTTTATCTAAATTTATCGTTTGGCAAATAGAGTCATGTTTTCTTTTTAAATTAATTTTAGTCCGCTTTTTTAAACCGGAGCTTAGAACCGGATCAACCACTTTTTTTAACGGGAGCTTAGAACCCGTCTGACTTTTGCTTGAAGTCGTTTGAAAATTAATAGAAACTTGCTGACAAAAAGAACTTTCCGAACCAGTTTTTTGGAAAGTTTGTTTTACACGCACCATAATAAAATTTGCAAAAGAATTTTAAAAATTATTTTTAAAAAGTTGCTTCTGAAATAAAATATATTAAAATAGGTTTTTATGCAAACCAAAATTTTTAATTTGTAATTATTAAAATCTTTTTTCAAATTATTTTTTCACTACTTATTATTTTATTTCAAAATTTGTATTGAATTTTTGAGTAATTTAAACGACTAATTCTATTTCAAAATATTTTGTTTTTACTTATTTTTTAACCTTAATTGATCTTTCAGAAGCAACCTAGGTGTTCTTTGTTTACGTATTTTTTGTCTTTTAAAAATAGAGAAAACACGAAACTAAATTTCTTTTTGAGTCCAAAAAAGGAGAAAAGTGAGAACTACGACATACATTTCCCACAAACAAAGAAAAAACAAAAAATCGCCATATATCTACCAAAACACAATGTTTATCTTCCTATATCCCACCAAATCCTAATAAGCACTCATTGTAGACATATTTCGAACACTTTTGGCGTTCCTTAAAAGTTTCAAGTTGGCGACTAAGTGGCAGCGATTAATTTACTAAAATTTGTCTCCATGCGTCTAATTGACAGTTGGCTGGTGTTTTGTTGTTTACTGTTAAATTTGCTCTTAAAATTAGAGAAAAACAACTTTTTCTCTCTTATTTTTTACAAAGAAAACTTTTCGTGTCAAAACAAATTCTATTTTTCTTTTTAAAAATCGGCAAAAAGCGTGACAGAAAGTGTGAAATTATATAGTTAATTATTAGGAAATCCCAACAACAACAACTCCTTCAACTGACTCAAAACCTTCAAAAACTTTGTGGAATTGTTCAATAGAAGCTGCTTTAGAATTTCATCGAGTTGTTTTTGATTTATTTCCTCAAGGCCAAAAACAATTACGTTATATTACTTCTGATTATGTTGGGAAATTCGTTACACCTGGATGGTCTGATAATTTAATTACTCAAAAAGAGGTTTTAATTTAAG